TCTGAAACTTTCTCCTGTATATTTTCACTTTTTCAGTTCAGGTCTCTCACTTCTAATGACAACGTCAAAGTACTGCCAGGGAGAAAATTGATTGGCGGATGCCCACGGGGCTAGAATGTATTTTGTTCCCGCTGGTTGGTAGTGGTGCACAAGATTGTAATGGGGTTTGCATGAATCTCACTGACAGCTATTTAAAGCAGCTCTAAATATAAACCTCTAGTGGCCTGATCTTCTGGGTAGCCATTTGCCATGTAGGAAATTGTGGAGAAAAACGATTGACTGGCAAGATGGATGGACCAGTGATAACAATCACGGCATCTGTCTGGCCAAATATGGAATAGCAGCAAGCACACTGCTCACTTTCTCTTGGCTACTACAAGTCTTGTTGGAAACTTAACACTGACATGTGCAGATAGGGATCTTTTAAGTGGTCAACAGGGTTTGGTACAGAGTTCTCCCCCTCATTCATGCACACCACCAGTACCACATGTCACCTGAAACTAGACATGGCAGCTCAAACTAAGCATGCAGTAGTCTAGACCCCATTAATACACTGGCAAATACATGATGGTATAAAAATTGCATAAGCAGATTTTTTTCTTTGTATAAATCAGCCTGCTTCGAAGTACACATCAAGAATATATCACAAGTTACAATCATCTGCCAGCCCTCGAAGTAATACACAATCTGAGCGTACGTTCTTGACACTACCCATCTAGCAGGAAAATTCAGCGTACACAGTTTTTGTACACTCGAGTAAGTAGCAGGCCCTAAGTAGCTTTCATAGCGTCAAGTTTTTGTCTGTGTACAAATCGGGTAATAGAAGTGAACTCTGCTGATATTGAGTCGACATTCTTTTTCACTTTCGTTATAATGATCCTAGGCACAGGATCCTATCCTGAAATACCAGATATCTACATGTCTGCCAAGTTGACGGATATGATCCACTAGGCCAGATATGGAGTTTGAAATCAGGACAGATTTTATTTTACAGATCTAAGAACCCTTCTGTATGCCACAACAGCACCAAGAATTTTTTTCACTGTTTTGACATCGCCGTGTACGCTGTAAATCTTTATTAATATTTCATGAGCAACTGAATGGAAGCCTCTTTGTCACACACCTACGTACGATTTACTCCTTTGTCATTGAGCAAATCCTTCACAATTGCGTGGACTTCGAAAACATCAAACAAACCGTGATCATATATATATGTATAATTTCTATACAACAGTTTTAAACATCAGCCTGGGTCCTTTGCTGACTAATATTTACATTTAATAACAAATACCGATTCAAACATACACATAGATATTGTTGATAACGATAATATGACCTTTATATAGGACACAGCAACTAATAAAATATTCAAATTGCTTAGCTTTAAAACTGTTGCTCATGAATAATAGATAAGATACTATAATTTCTCTCATCGCATGTGAATACATAATCTACTTTTTAATAGCTTCTTTTCATAAAACGTAATGCTCTGATCTAATATCTATCATCAACTGTAGGTAAAATGTTTCACTTATCGGGAAGGTAGAATGTAAATTAGCTCAATAAGTTGTGGTTATTTTAGGGACCATCCTTATGTATTTTCATGAACTAGCATCATGGGACATTTTGTACCAAAACTGATCATTAGTTTTCTGCAAAACACTCTCTGTATTTAGAACAAGTTAAAAGTTTGGCTATATGGATTGGACTGTTGTTTTTACAATAGGATAAACCAATACAGATAGAAAAATAGCTGGAGCACCAAAGTGAAATGCATTGGTCAAATACTATAATAGAAACTTCTTTCTGAAATAACATGATCATTATAAAAATACCTGCTTTAAAATCTAAGTTACGGTATTTTACCAAATTGTTCCAACTTCAAGAGTCTTTATATATGAAAGCAAGTGACTGAATTACATCAGTCAGGCCATTTGAGTACAAATATTCTTAACCTTTTCTAACAAAGAAATCTCACATTTTACATTTGTCTGCCATCACTTTGAGCTCTTGGAACAGTTAACATAGCCTCTACAAGTCTGGCGTTTGACAGGCTTGCAATATGCTTTTGTTCTGGCAGCATCTCAGTTCCCAGTACTCGGTTTCTTGCGCTCTACCTACGATTGTAGAGCCTACTAAAAAAGAGGCTACAGTTATTGATGGTATCATCAGGACAAGGACGCAAGCCCATAATTTGCTCCATTACATGTTTGACTTGCTTTAAAAGCGGGGATAAAGGGGACAAATGGGTGGAAGACATGCAAACGGACCAAGTGGAGAGTCCACCTGACCTTGCTTGGCTAAACGTTGTGTGACCAAGGAGTAGGAGGGGGAAGCCCAAGGACTGCAAACAGAGGAACACGGACTGACTGAACAGGTCTCTCTGTGTTCCCGCCACCTGCTCTGCATACTGATGGTTTGTTTGGCTTCATGAATTTCAAATTTCTCCTGTAGGACCTGTTACCCACTGGTCTTGGCGTCTGTTTGCTAATGGGGGAAAGAGACAAGGGGGACCTCGTACATCCGAGGTACCTTGTACAAAATGTATTGTGTGCAGTAGTCCTACATACAGACCCACACCAGGGCGAAACTGAATGCATACTCTTCTGACGAAGACAATAAAAGTGTTTCTAGTGATGACTAAGTATTTGAATGTGAAACTACAGGATCTTCTAATCTGACTCTATAGTATCCATCTCTACATGTTCAACCAATAATGGGAGTAGTTTCTCAATCAGGACATTGAGCATATTTGACGGGACAAGCTAAATCAATCTGAATTGAATAAAAGATTAGCTCCTGATCTTCTTAACTATTAGAAACTTTATCCCATCAAAAAGATGATTAAATTTTGGGGCCATGGATGGAGCAAATGCTTAGCAGGAAGAATTAATGATAATGTACACCATGACATGTAAATCTGTATATAAACTGAAGTTGATGTTGGTCCACAAATTCTGGTACAAAGTTGTCAAACACAGACAGGGTTGGGGTACAAATTAATACTAGTACATTAATACGAAGTTAAGGCATCCTTTTTATGGTGGACTCAGAATAGGACATTGAAGTGAGAAAAATGAAATTGAACCATTTTTTGCCAGTGATGACATTTGTGATGGGCAGAAAGGTTCTTGGCACTTTAACAAGGTATTGACTTTAGGATTTGTAACAAAAAATTCATGTCTGGATCTTCACAATGGATCACAAGTCTTGAAAGTGTTGTCCAAGAAAAACAAAAGAGAGCTCCCATGGCATTTGGACATGGCTCTTTGTCTTGCCACCACCATGAATAATACAATAGGAAATTCAATATTTCTCAAATCACTATCTTTCAAGAGCTAATCATGTCACCATTGTCTTCTTGTCAAAATTGCAGATAAGTTATGTCCAGGACTTTATGTTAGTTCAAGTTGGTTCTACCGGCTTAGTATTGATCAGTCTGGTCTTGAAATATTGATGGGACAAATCGACTATTTATTTTCGAGGGGCGCTCCGACTAAAGAGGTATTAACAGCTGGAGCTAACTATGTCCTGTAGAAGTGGAACTTGTGTTCTGGTAATGGCAACAGCTGGTAACAATTGGCTGTATTTGTTTCATGCCAAATTAGATGGTGTGATTTGCTGTAGGTGAGAATCATCAGTGAACAGCCTTCACAAGTTAAAATTTGGTGACATTTTCTCACGGGAAAGCCTGTCAAAAGGTCATCATACCTTTGTTTTTTTTTTTCAGTGTTATATAAGACTTCAAAAAAAATATGTTAATGTTGTTTTTCAGTTTGTGCTGGTACTGGTGTGCGTCAGGACACAAATGCTGCAGTAATGAGTCTGGGTAGCTGGGCCTGCTTAAATATTTATACATCATATGATTGGCTTCAAAAACACAACAACAACAGACTTTCTCTCTGGAAAATTGTAGTCACACACACACAAAATGCATTATCATACAACCTACAATTGCTGTGTGTGCGAACAGTTACATTAATTTTATTTGAAAGATTCGGACTATGGACGAAATGACCTCTGTCCGCCTGGTCACACAGTGGCTAGTGCCACCCCCTGAAAGAAACATGACAACAGGACGGAACCCAAAATAAATGTCCTAACAAAGACAAGAAAAACAAACTGTAACATGCACAACTGGCTTTGTCCCTCACACTTTCCTATTGTCTCCGTGAAATTGTAATACTGTGTTATTGAGAGGTATATAATTGTGCGACCACGTGTGCAATATAGCTCGTAGCGCCCACAGGTAAACAGGGCCACTTGGGCGACTTGTAGTAACCTCCAAACCTTTTCAGTCAAGGCAAAATACGGTCAGGACCAGTGTAGTCAGCCAGGTCATCGATCCCCTTATACAATAGCGAAGATTTTCCATTCATTCACCACGTCCACCGCTCACATTTTGACGGAGAACACAACACCAAATACGGCGATATCCCTTTGCGGAAAGGCCCTGTGTGAGTGAGCGCGCCACACCACGAGAGCGCTGGGTTCCTACTCGGGATTTGCCCGGTACACAGTAGTAACAAGGTGCCAACAACATGACACGCTCCCACCAAGCACGCTAGCGGCACAACGTGAGAATCTTCGCACACTTGGTAAACATACACCCCATTCACAGTTAGCACACAAAGCAGTAAAACCCCAACAACTTGGACCTATCCTTCCAACCCCTTCAAGACTAGTCCGATTTCCCGTTAGTTTTTACCGAGACGTACACACACTTAGTACCGAGCCTTCACCCCCTCCCTCGCCCTACCGCACCGCCGACCCCACGGCGGCATGCCCGGGAACCTGTTACTCTGGGACGGTACAGATTAGCGTCTTCTCACATGCCCTTAAAAGGCTCTAAAGGAACTTCTGGCGTTTTCCACAACTCTGTGCAAGCAACAGCTACCGAACCGTGGTGCTCGTATAAATTTGTCAGCTACCATAGCCCGTGTAACACGCTCTAGAGTCCCCCTGACATGCCCGCCCGTCACTCACCCCAGTTTACTTACCGTCCAACCGAAGTCGAATGAAAGCCTGACTCGTCCGGCATTGTTTCCATTGTTTGACAGGGAAAAAGAATTTCCACCCAACACGGGACTGGTGTATCTCCCAAACGTACAGGTTCCACTTGCCGACGGTTTCACTTGGTACTCCTTAAGGCAAACTCTGAAGTAAGTATCGCACGCATCCTGTGTACAAGACCCGTCATAATCTTTCACTCCATCGCAGCAGTTTCCACTGATGAGCTGGCCCGCGATATTCTGTATCGAGTTAATTTGCAGCTCGAAGTATCCTGAAGCATTGGAGAGCTGGAAAAACAAGTTCCAAAGAAACACACGATATAAGAAACATGAGAAACTCATATCGCTGTAATGAAAACTGCAATGTGAAATAGCACGCGTACCGCTCATTATAAAACTGAAAATAGGTACCTGTATCGTGGAAGTTAGCAGCACTATTCCAACAGCTGTAAGTAGGAAAGCCCCTCTATGAACCATGCCTACTTCGTGCCAATTTCCCAACAGCTTTCCTGAGTGATTGTGGGGGAAACGGGAGCCGCTGAACGGCGCTGGGATCGCTTAGGTTGGGCATGCACGACGACGGTATTCCTCCCGATCGAAAAATATTACACAGCAGCCTGGGTCTCGAGCTGTGGGAACCGCAGCGGCCGACAGATGCATTATTTGGAGGCGCTGCCACAGTTCGCATGCGCAGATCAATTATGTATTCCGTGCCGACAAGTTGACGTTTCTTCTATTGGCTATTGTCCTATTTTAATGAGATGTTGTGTAAACATTGTCTATTATAGGCGAAAGTTGATAGGCGTGTGACTAATTTGACCTAAAATTTTCCCAGGGTATGCTGTACGCACCGTACGTCGCCCAAGAAGTGAAGAAAGTGGTCGAAATGTGGGGGGAAGAGGAAGGAAGACCGTGCCCGACTGTTGTCGGGTACCTGAACGGGCTCGGCCGCGGGGGCAGGAGGCGGGACGGCGGCGGTAGGACGGGCCGGTCGATAGCCTGCGGTTGGTAGGGGGAACATGAGAAGGCCTCCTCTGGATCGCCCCTCGCACTCTTTGCCAACAGCCGTGGGGCCGATCGCTTTACTTCGTCTTGACTCTCCGACGGTCTACTTTTACTCCGGTTACTCATCGACACGAGGACCGTTGTTTCCAGATACTATTAGGAAACCAGAGATCGGCAACAAAATACGCGGAAGGGCAGATCAGATTATGCGTAGATTGAGGGTAAACATGTATCTTTTATCCCTAACAACATATGTATGCTTTGTCGTGTCTTTGAAGGTCTGGGACTAGGTGTCAGGGTGGCGTGGTCGATCAACAGGCACTTTGGGTACGGTTTCTTTGACCAAGGAGGTTAAACCTCCCTTGCTTTGTGACGATTAAAACTTTGGCAACCTCGGAATGTACTTTGCCCAGCCCAGCAGACATCGAGCTTGCTTCTTTTATAAGCTTTCGTATCGGCGACGTAAAACTCGTCATTCTATCATATAGTTGTTTTTCTGTCTCTAGATCCAGAAGCAATAGACTAATCTACCTCCATGGACTGTTGTAGACTGAATGTACGGTTAGAATATTTTCTTGGTCTTGTTCCAACGTTGCAAGTATTGATCACAACAGATCATGCCCTCTCTTGTTTGCTAACTGAACTGCAGGTGTTCGCCTAATCGTGGCCGGGACAGGTGACGCAACCTACTCTCCAAGCAGAGGTTTGGGCTTTGGCTTATTTTGGCGTGTTTTAGGCATTTTTTTTTGTCAGGCTTTCTTTTTTGTACTGGTTTCCTTTTTTTGGTGCTAGCACTAAAAAAAAAAATGAAAAGCCGATGAAAAAGCCTAAAAACGCGCAAATGAAAAATAAGCGAAAGCTCAAACCTCTGGTTGGAGAGTAGATGCAACTAGCCTCCTGTGCAGGCCTCCAGGTGGGTGGGAGTTTTGATGCTGCGTTTTATACTATAGGTACAGTATACTATAGGGTTTTAACGCGTTCTTTTGCCGCCCATCATACTACCAGCCGCCCAGAGAAAGTTTGTACCCGCTCACCTACCTTCTATATGGGCGGATGGCCGTATGTAGGATGACCGGGAAAAGAACGTATAAAAAGTCCAAATCGCAGTATGGAAAACTCCCACCCGCCCGGAGGCCTGCACAGGAGCTATAAGATGCAAACCAAGCTGCACAGTAACTCGCAAATCAGTCTAGAAACACTGCCAGGCTTCGGAAGTGGCTGGACTGAGAGCAGAACAACAGATAAAACGCCAGGGGAGTTGGTATGAGTACAAATGAGTACACATTTCCGGCAAATGTACTCTTTTAATACCGCGGACCAACTTCCCTGGCATGTTATCTGTCCATTTGACCAAGTTCTGCTCTTTCCAGCCACTTCTGAAGCCTGGTAGTGGCTCCGGATACCAGTGCCTCTTGTGATCTCAGGGACTTTGTCAGCATGAAAATTTACACTTTTCCCAGAAGCGTCACTCACTGAAAACGCACTTTACTTGCCTAATATAACGATGTAGGTGTTTTCGATGCTCTTTACGATTTGAAAACATGATTAACTTCCTCTAGAATAAACATCAAGTTGGTGAAAAATTATGCATTTTCAAATTCAAACTAGTTTTGCAAATGTTTTATATCATCTGTACGGAGTTCTATAGCTAGTGGTGCACGCTTTACTTTAGTTCCTCTGCCCATTCAGTGTTCGTATGAAATCACAACGAATACACCTTTAAGTAATACCAAACCTAACTTGATTTTCTTAGTGTTTAGAATACAAGTAATTGTTTCTCTGCTAAAGAGTGGTCGACTGGTTTACTTGAATATCATGGGAAGTAACGTTTTTAGAATTGTCTGTAGCCCTAACTGAATATTGAAACATGAACTATCATCTTGACTGATCGTTGTCACCAGGAAATTTGCCAACAATAAAACTAATAACGTTAAAATGTATGTGGTGTGTTTTCTTCGTGTGCGGATGACTACAACAACATATCGTTAAAGTCCGCAGAAATAAAAGTGGCTATTTATACGTCTATAAACGGCTTTCCCAGAAGCCAAGTGGTGTGTGGTTGAAACGAGGACTTCTGTGTCTCCTCAGTATAATTAGGTCTGATGAAGACATTTGAGAAGAAGTTCAGCGGTCGACACTTGTCGTGAGGGTGTCCCCGGCTGACGGACCAGAGTTTGAATATCGCCTCCGAGCAACTGTAGCGTATTCCAACAATGTGTGATTCTTCGTTTGGGCAAATATCGCGGGCAGACCGTCATCGGTGGTCCCGGAAACACGATGTGATCGTAAAATGAAGCAGTCTGTTGAAGAGAGCAGCACGTCTGGCCTGAGAGAAATGGGCTGCCCGCTTGCCATACTTCAGTGGAAGCCAAGTCAACCGTCTACTCCCCTGTGGTAGGAGGCAACAATCGTCACATCTGCTTTTCTACCTCATTTAACATCGTACTTCTGTTAATACAGAACCCGGCCCAGTAAGTCTAGAACTGATTCTACGAGCGGATACATATGCAATCTGGTGGCTGCAAAGACAGTATGCAATTTTCCAGACAGTTACAAGTTGTTGGGCTTGCCTAAAAATATAGCCTCTACCAGGCTGTCGGGTGCGGTATTAAAACTGTACTTTTCTAGCGGACTAACTCCCTCTGCATGTTTTTTCTCTCTATTTGGTCAATTTCTACTCTTTCCAACCGCCTTCCGAAGCTTGGTAGAGGCTATGAAAAATATATTAGTACAAAAAGAATGCCCTAAACACACGCCAAAAATAAGAAGCCTTAACCTCTACTTGGAGAGTAGAGCAGATGTTTTCAGGCTTCTTGGAAGCTGCATCCGTCCACTGAAATTAGAAAAGAAAAGGTCCCACTTGTTCAATCGATAGCTAAGCATTGTCTACGAGCGATGCAAAGGCAGAGTGATGTATACATAGCCTCCACCAGGCTTGGAGAGGCGGCTGGAAAGAGTAGAAATCGGCCAAATAGAGATAAGCATGCCAAGGGAGTTTGTCAGAGAACAGTTCGCCGCACATGTCATTGTTGCACTGTTCTCTCAACGGACAAACTCCCTTGGCATGCTTATCTCTCTATTTGGCCGATTTCTACTCTTCCAGCCGCCTCCCCAAACCTGGTAGAGGCTAAGGTATACACACTGCTACCAGGAAATGAACGTCACTAACAACAGCCTCATTACAAACTTTACAATAGCCCGAGTAACAAGCCAGTCTAACGACCGACATCCTGTGGCGATTTTCTCTTTTCAATGTCAGGATGACCACAGATGCGTCATGTCTGGCTTTCCATATAAAAGTTTTCCTGATGTCGTAGTGGTGATGAAACAAAAAGCGGACCACCAATACTCTCCAAGCAGAGGTCTGGGTTTTGGGGGTATTTTTAGCGTGTTTTTAGGCTTTTTTATTTTTACTTCTTTTTTGGGTTTGGTGGAGAAAAAAATTCAGTGCAAAAGAGAAACCCCGATAAAAAAAAGCCTAAAAACACGCTTAAAATACCCCCAAAACCCAGACCTCTGCTTGGAGAGTAGACCACCAACACAATGGTCACACAATGCCTCATGCATGCAGATTTTATTTGGCTTGACTTTACGTGACTACCGAGTTCATCCGGCGGCTTTCTGCTATCTGTTGTTCTTCAGGCTAAATCACTGCAAGTGCGACAATGACATGTGCGGCTGATAACAAACAGGGTCGTCCAGGAACGGGAGATACAACTAGCCTCCGTAGCAGCCTTAAAGTAATATAGAACTGGAGGTTTGGTAGTCTTCGGCTGTTTTCTGATTAGCCCAGTTCTAAAACAAGTGCGGGTAATTCAACCAGGCCGGCTATGTTGTCTACATGCAATCAGAAAATCACATAAAAGCTCCCAAAGACCCTGAAGACCACCAAAACCCCCAGTTTTTGGCATGCTATGGAGCAACAACAGCGATATGGCCTCACAGACATTGAAAAAAGTATTTTATACATTAGTCACGTAGTGTTGGTGTACATGCGATGACGCACTGATTAGGCCACACCAAGTAAATTTTATGGATGACGTCCGCGCGCGCATTGATTTTGGCCTGTTCCTAGAAAAAAAAAACAAGAAATTCCGCTTCCTGTAACTATGACCAAAGAGTCACGACAGTGCGGCAAATAGGTTTATACGGACCAAAGCTTATGATTGAAGCATCAAGCAAGGAAATCATGACTTCCATTAGGAATTCAGTTTGGTACATGCTGCCACATTTGAAGAAACTTGCTGACCGCTCCATCTATCTCCCCAAAGCACAAGACGACAACTGCTGTTCCACCTGATTTATTGCTGTTTTGATGATGAATAAAAGACTTGTTGCTTGTTACACTGTGTCACCTCATTCAATTTGTGTCCTAACATTTGTCGTCTCTTAGTATATTTCTAATCTAGGCATCTTGTTTTTTAGGGCCCTTCTTGTTTTTTTTCGCCCTCTCGCATTAGATTTAGGGTCTCCAAAGGACGTCATCCATAAAATTTACGTGGTGTGGCCTTATGACAAATACGTGTGTTTCCAGTCGGCATGACATCATGTCGGGAACTGTGACTGGCACAGAGGAAAATGTTGACAAGGAAACAGCGTGTTAACAATAACAACTGTGCAAACAGGATAAACGAGCTTGAATAGTTCCAGCCTATACGACCACT